TTGAGTTTGCAAGGCTGTAGCCTGCTCATTGGCAGCAATGGATGGGATAACACTAGATACTGAACTATCAATTTCACGCTCCTGTTGAATAACTAGGGAAAAGGCTTTGTCTATGCTAGGAAGGGGATGCATCATCATTATCTGAGACTTAGAGTGAGCAAACTTTTCAGTCAAACCTTTCAGAAATCGTATGACATAATCCTGTTCCCTATACAATCTAATGGATGCAATGGCACCACAAGAACATGCAATATCACAGCTACAAGATGGAATAGGTCTGTAATTCTCTAATTCGTCCCACATAACCTTCAATTGAGTAAAATAGTTTGAGACGTCAAGAGTACCTTGTTTGAATTTGTAGAGATCTTCTTGGATGTCAGAAATGCGGAAAATATCGCCTTGTGAAAACCTAATCTGCAAGTTCTTCCACACACCAAAGGCATTATCGATCCATAACACTGATTTAGCAATTTGCTCTGAAATCGATCATTGAATCCACGCAAGAACCATCGTATTACATCGAATCCATGGTGAGTACAGAGGATCGGATACTGGTGGCTTGGGAAAAGTACCGTCGATGAACTTCTCCTTGTTCTTGGAGATCAGAGCGATCTGCATTGATCGCGCCCAGGTATGATAATTTTTGTCCGTGAGAAGAGGTGAAACAAGAACGAGTGAAGGATTCTCGTTCGGATGGAGATAAAACGGATTCGCAGAATTGGTAGTATAGTCGGCGTAGCTCTGGTTCGCCATGAATGAAAGGAATAAGAAGAAACGTGATTCAAAGGAGAAAAGAGAAAAATGAAAGAAGAGAATCACGGAGAAGAAAGAATCGATGGCTACCAGAGCTATATAAGCTTTGATACCATGTCAATAATGGCCATGAGAATACACCAGCAAGGTGAAGAAGCCATGAATATCCAAGAAAGGTTCATTGAACAAGATGAAAGAAAGAGTAAAGTGTTCTGTTATTCAATGGATCAAGTAGTTACAGATAAGAGAGTGTGAACTCTATATATACAACCAATGACCAGATGCCAGCAAGGTATAAAATACTAACTAACTAACAAAACTTATCTAAGCTGACGCATGTATATACATCAATAAAATAAGCTATATACAAATAGTATGCTAATACTTAGTTTGTAGCTTTGATTCCTCTAACAATGGTAGAATTCGTTTGCCCTAGTTCTTCCTTCTCTTATCTTTCCTGTTTCTACGTGACATCAGTTTTTCCCAATTACTTCTACCACTCTTCCAATATAATATTTTATTCTTAATAGCAAATAATAATAATAATAATAATAATAATAATAATAATAATAATAATAATAATAATAATAATAATAATAATAATAATAATAATAATAATAATAATAATAATAACTATATATAATCTTAATAATAATAATATTATATTCCATCATTCACCAATATTCTTATTATTATAACATACACCAAATTTAATTTTAATTATTTAACTAAAATTGAGTTCTCTTGTACCTTTAGTTATGTCAAAATAATTCAAAATCAATAAACAATGACTAAATATTTAAATGAGGCGTTATATCATTTATGTACATGACTTCAAATTTGGATCCCCATATAAATGTTATCAGACATATATAACATCACACTATCCCTAAAGGGCACAAAATATGTGAGTTATTTATCCCTTCATTCATGTGTGAAACACAGACTTTAATTCTAACGAGATAGAGTATAATGATCAATGATCTCCATGTCATGCATGACAATTGAGAACTATCTTTGCACTTCATGACATACGAGTAAGATAATCAATATTTATAATATTATATAATAATAATAATAATATAAATTATTGTATTTAAAAACTTAAAACAACTGAAATTAAACTTTAACAAATTATAATTTTTTTTATAGAATAGATATATTTTTTCAACTATATCCCAGCTAAAGAGGTTGATATTCTTAATTTGAGAAGCTTCTGGAGGAGTAATAATATTAACATCAATGAAATTGCCTCACTTGTTAATTTTAAGAGGTAGGAACGTTGAAATCACCTCACAAAATCCATTCAAGTGTAAAGAAAAAAGGACGAAAGGGTACACCGGTAAATATAATAAAAAACGCGTTGGCCATGCCCCACGCCTACGGTGTACCCAACAGGGAGGCCGCGTGCTAAACAACGTAAAGCCCGCCCTTTTTACGTTTCTCTCTCTCTCTCTCCTATTTGCTTTTTGATTTTCATATTACCATTATATATTTAATTAATATTGAATATTTAATTTAATATTTAATTTAGTCCGACTAACTTATAAATTAAGCAAGGTGAAACAAAAGGGATCAAATAAAAATTCAAATCCAAATCAAAACGCTAAAATATAATAACATTATTATTATTATTATTATTATAAAATCGCACTAATGTTTCCTTGGAAGAAGGGAAAGAGAGGGGTTGTAACAGGATTCTGTTGAGCTCCAATACCTCTCTCGTTCTCTGCAACCGATGAGGAGGACGACGACAACAACGAAAAATTCCTCTCCATTTTCCGTTCATCCAAATTGAGCCCGTTAGGTACATCACAATACAATGTCTCTCATCTTTCTAATCATTTATTTTATTGGTTTATTTTGTAGATTTTGACCGTTTTGATCACTAGTACCCTACGTGCCCTACAATTGATTAAGCAGTTTCATTGTAATTTGATTTTGGTATTAATCGCTTTTTGTTTCATTAATGGTTAGGTTAGGTTGTGCACGTTTGGTAATCAAGTTGAAATGTTAGATTTGGGAATTTTCATTTTGAGGTTCATTACGAGCCCTGACGCTTCTATTGCTTCTATTTTTGGATGGCTGATCACCGGATCGTTTGGGCTTGTCGCCGTCATATACGCTGTTCTCAAGTGGCAGAGAAGAGCGTCGTTGAATTGGATTAAAGCTGCGGCGAGGGAAAAGAAGAAAGTTTGGAAGAAATTTAAAGTTCCGCTATCGGATCATTTGTGGGTTGAGGATTTTACTTATGGGGAACAGCCGTCCACTTGTTGTTTTTGCTTGACTTCGCTATGGCCTTCTCAGAATTTAGGTGCAACAGCTACACCGCATACTCCTCTTCATCGTTGCTCGGTTTGTGGTGTTGCAGCTCATTTTCTTTGTTCTCCGTTTGCTGCCAAGGATTGTAAATGTGTGGCTCAGGCTGGTTTTAGTCATATTAGACACCATTGGTCAGAAAGATGGGTTAATGTGGATGATCATCATGAGATGTCTGCTTTCTGCTTTTACTGTGATGAAGCGTGCGGTGTCCCGTTTGTTAAATCATCTCCTACGTGGCATTGTCGTTGGTGTCAACGTCTCATTCATGTGAAATGTCATAACAAATTGACTAGAGATTCGGGTGATTTTTGTGATTTGGGTTCTTTGAGACCGATTGTGCTCTCTCCTCTTTGTGTCAAAGAAGTTGATGAAAGTCAAAAGGGAGGAAAGCTAAGTTCTATTATAACATCTTCCGTTCGCGGTCAGATTAGAAAGCGGCGTAACCATAATAAAAACGGAGGTGGTTGCCATGCTAATGGTAAGTCACGAGGCTCCTCCGTTGCTGATGCAACGTTATTAGAATATGTGTTGAATGGTCTCCACCGGAACAAGTACAATGATGGGAAGCTCTACGATCCCACAAACAATGGTAGAGTATTAGGGAATGGTTTAACTGCTACCCCTGGCCAAATCAAGAAATACACATTGGTTGATTTGCCAAATGATGCAAGGCCACTTTTGGTCTTTATTAATACCAGAAGTGGTGGGCAGCTCGGGCCTTCTCTTCACGGAAGGTTGAATATGCTACTAAATCCTGTTCAGGTGATTACTTGGTTCTTATTAATAACATGCTTTTTATGGAAGTAGTGGCTGACATCTTTATTTAGCACATTGCAGTCATATGTTAGATATTTTAAAGGGCGAGATTGGATCATATGATTTTTGAGTTTGTTTGCAAAGATTGTTTTGTGATCTTAGATCTAGAATAACTTGATTCCAAATCTATCCCTTGCACCGCCTTGAATATATTATTCACAAATCCGTTTTTTGAGATGTAGTCTGTTTCAGATATGAATGTAGAGTAGTGACTCTACTAAATGTTAATTGAAATCTAACTTCTTTTTTCTACAAATATTCGGCAAAGCAAAATAGTTAGAGAACAGTATGCTAGTATTTGTTTACCTTCATATTTTAAAAGAACAAATATTATTTTTTTGCACATTCTTAATTCTACACATTGTGCTGATTGTGACATATTGGCTTTAACATTATGTGATATGGGTGACTGGATTCATGATGTTCAAGTATAAGGGATTTATTGCAATTGCAAGTAAAACTCTAGTAGAAATTTCCTTCTTCTTGTCCCATTGAGTGTAGAAAACAGATTCCTATCCTTGTGGATCCCACTGATGGAAAGACAAAGACCGCATTTATGAACCATCGTCATAGCCTTTGTTGCAACTCTCTTGGGTTTGGTTAACTTGATAATTCTCTTGGACAACAGCTGAATAAATTTGTAAATCCCATTATTGTTGCTAATAAAGGGAAATCTTTCCCATATGCCACAGTGAAAGTTCAACTTTTAGTATGCTCCAACTTCTACAATAATGCACTGATTTTTGCTTCTTTCAACTTTTTCCAGCATTGTTTACAATGACTAATCTTATTTTAAATTTATCTCTTGCCTCGATGATACACAACCCGTTGAACTGGTCACATTACGTAACTTTCTTGCCCAAGAACAAGATTTTTGGTTGATGTCTCCCAGTCCTTCATAAATGTTTTCTTGTTGCTGAGACAAGATCATCTTTGGAGAAGACTTCCAACTTGTTCAAATCACCGTGGAGTATCTTTACCTTCTTGTCCCATCAACCTTTTAGACTCGCCAACCCCTTTCACACCCTTCTCGATCATAGATGTTGTAGTCTCTTCTATTTCTTGGTTGCAACCAGAATTCTGCTTCTTCAGCATAATTAAGCATCTTCTTAAAGTTCGTTCAAGTCTGCTTCAGAATATTCCATTGCTGCTGCTTGTGATCCCATTCTCGGCCCTCTTCTGGCAGCATCTCGAGATTCTTCTTTTTCCATGTCATCCTTGTCATCACCCAAGAAATTGTTGAAATTCGAGTTGTCATCATCACCCAAAAAATTGTTGAACTTCGAGTTGTCTTCAATTTCTGAAGAAGTTTTTGCATCTGGTGTTTTCTTACCATGTTGCAATTCCAACAGCAAGTTCTTGATCTGATCCATGTCAGAGACTTTGCTGACTTTTACTCTGACCTGTTCCAGATTTTTTTTCATCTTCTGCAGAGTCTGGTTGTGTTCATCCACCAATTTCTCAATGGAGTTCATACGATTTTCCATGGTGCTGACCATCGTAGCGGTTGGTCGGATCAATTGTTAGAAACATATCATTTGGTATAAAAAAGAATGCCCAAAACTGGGCAGAATTGAATCAACAGAGGAACAATTTTATTGAAAGATTGAGACAGGATAAAAGAGAATTGGAGAGAAATCTCGCCTACAATGGTTTCCCTTCTACAATAAAGTCACTACTCTATTCACAAACTTTACGGTATTCAAAAGATGCTCTCTACCCTTTGTGTTCTCTAATTTTAATACTTTCCCTCTATAACAACCTCAACTAACTAACTTTTGTAACAACTTTTATCTATTTTAACTACTCTAATTTCCCTTTATTCTATAATCCTAACAATATTCACAAACTTCACAATATTTCCAAGATGCTTTCCACCCTTTGTGTTATCTTATACACATACTCTATAAAAATCTCAACTAACTAACTAACTAACTTCTATAACATCTTTTAACTACTTTAGCTATAATTTAACTTCCACAAAAAGTCTTGTGGCTATATCTTGAATTCTACAATTCCTGATTGCATAAACTTTGTTGGGTAAGTTATTTTAATCTGTTAGTTGTTTATGAAAGTTTATAAGTGGCGTTTTGGTGTTTGTATGGAGTATTTAATCTTCCTTAAAAATGCTAATAGTTATTGGTTTCTGTTAATTTTCTATCCAGTCAGTACTGTGTTGCTGTTGCATGAGAAATTCAATAAATTGTGTTTTGCTACTGGTTTCTGTTAATTTTCTCACCAAACAGGGCATTATTTAAAATAAAAAAAACTGCTTGAAATTCTTGTTCCCTTATGGTTGATATCCGTATGTTATTAATATAATGTAGATAGAGTAATGGACATTTTCTGGTTTGGTATTTTACTACAGGTCTTTGTATTGAGTGCTTCTCAAGGTCCTGAGGTAGGCCTTGAATTGTTCAAAAGTGTACCATATTTTAGAGTATTGGTATGTGGTGGGGATGGCACTGTTGCGTGGGTGCTTGATGCTATAGAAAAATGCAACTTTGAGTCACCTCCACCCGTTGCAATTATTCCCCTAGGCACAGGAAATGATTTATCCAGGGTACTTAATTGGGGAAGGGGCTTCTCCGCACTTGATGGACAGGGTGGGTTGACCATGCTTTTGCATGACATTAGCAATGCAGCAGTTACTATGCTAGATCGTTGGGAAGTTAAACTTGCAGAAAAAATCTCTGAAGGAAAACATCATAGAGTGAAAACTAAATCCATGATGAACTACCTAGGTACTTCACTGAAACAAAAGCTATCTAGGATTGTTTCTTAAGAAATACTGACATCAACTTACTTTTATAGGCATCGGATGTGATGCAAAGGTTGCATATGAATTTCATGTTACTCGAGAGATAAATCCGGAAAAATTTAGTAGTCAGGTACATATTCTCCATTTTTATCTCCTCTTGTAACACTTTTTTATTTAAGACCTCTGGTTAAGTTTTAATTCCTTAAAGTCTTATCTAGGGCATTTAACTTATGCAATCCTTGAAAAGCCTTCACTTTTTTGGGTATATTTATTTCTGATGATAGTTCTATTGACAGTTTTTGAATAAATTACGATATGCCAAAGAAGGAGCAAGAGACATCATGGACAGAACTTGTGCTGACTTGCCATGGCAAGTATGGCTTGAAGTTGACGGGCAAGACATTGAGATTCCCAAGGTTAATTACCGGCACTGATAATTATTTGCACATTCTTGTCAGCAAATTTGTTGTGAATATTGCTTATATAAATTTATGTGAAGATAATTTTTTAAATTCTTCTTTCCATTCATATGCAGGATTCAGAGGGCTTAATTGTGCTAAACATTGGGAGCTACATGGGTGGAGTAGATCTTTGGCAAAATGACTATGAGCATGATGAAGATGATTTTAGTCTTCAATCCATTCATGACAAAATGCTTGAAGTAGTGTGTGTTTGTGGAGCATGGCACCTGGGAAAACTTCAGGTATATGATTACCTAATCAGTTAATCTTACTCAATTCTTGAGGTGTTATATATTAAATGATACGATTGAGTATATACAGATTACTCATTAAATATAGCATTTTGTATACCAAAAGTACCAAATTGATTAAACCGTAACATAAAAAAAATACTACTCTCCCTCACATTTATCCTACTTTCTGATGGTAATTCCCGAATGGCTTAATCATTCCACTCATTCTTTTCCGATTAATACTGCACCAACTATCTTGTTTGTTAACTATCACTTATTTTGTATGTTTCTCTTATGTGAGGACGCTGTCTGGTTCCTCCAAATTTTCCATTTTTCTGTTGGTATGTCAAGAGTGAGTAATAGTCTTATGTTGGATATAAAAGTGGATATTGAGCATCATACAAATGAGAGGTTCCATATACTCAATGCCTTAAGGTTTTTGGTGAAGATGTGGCGTATAAACCATTTGTGTTGTTGCTCTTAACTCGATGTGACGATCTCCATTGTTAGGCTCCCCTCATGGCCTAATATTTCCCTCCTCTATAGTTTATACATTTGCAGCCCATTCTTAGTTGGTCCCTTTCTTTTAATATTTGCAGTAAACGTGCGTTAAAGATCTATGAATAAATCAATGATTAATGAAGTAATTGAAGTTTTGGAAGAATGTTGATCCTAGTCTTGCTTCTTATTTGTCCATAGAGTATATTTTATTATTGCAAATTTAGATTCCTTAACTTGTGTCCTCAGGACACAGATTAGCAAGACTTTTTCATATATAATCCGATGCAAATATGAAAGTATTTTCCCTATCAGTATCCCCAAATAAAAGACATTTACAGTAAATTACTAAATAGTTATGCTTGATTTTCTGCATAGGTTGGACTTTCGCAAGCAAGAAGGCTAGCTCAAGGTAAAGTCATCAAGATACACTCTTCCAGTCCTTTCCCAGTTCAAATAGATGGGGAACCATTTATCCTACAACCAGGCTACATAGAGTTAACTCATCGTGGGCAGGTAATGACATCCTTCTGTGTTTTTGTAATAAATTTCATGTTCATAACTACATTAGAAACTTTTCAAACCAAAATCCAACAAGTATACTGATCGTAACAACAAATTTCACTTTTATATGGCGATTGATATCATTGGCTTTTATTTGCTATACTCAGGTGTTCATGATGAGGAGGACTTCTGAAGATGAGCCTAAAGGGCAAGCAGCTGCTATAATGACAGAGGTATTACTAGAAGCCGAGTCTAAGGGCATCATTAATACATCTCAGAGAAAAGTTCTTCTCAAGGACATAGCCATCAATCTTTCGTAAGATCTGTTTCTTGTCCAGCCTTCTTAAATAGTTGCCCTACTTGGGTTTTTGCGCTATAGTCCTTTTTTATAGGACCATTTTTGGTAATTTCCAAAAATATATAGAGAAAGGTATAGTTACACTTCCACAAAGCAGCTAATGTTAAGAGTGAAAACTGTTGCGTCTAACACACCCTACGTTGTGTATATTGCAACCCGGCTTATTACATTTTCTTCTAATCTTTGTAGTTATACTACCATCACCCAAATGAGATTAGAGAAAAAACAACAACTGATATGTATATGTCCATGGGTCTTGTTTTTTTGTATAACATGTGTGTGTGTGGGCAGGGCTCTCTGCAAGTTAAAAAACAGTTTCCAAGGGTCTTGCTTTTGTTTTTTTATTTATCTCGCTTGATAAAAAGTGTATTGTTCTAATTTAGTTAAATACTTTTTTCTTTTGAAACATTATCTTAAGTTCACAAGAACTCTTGGAGATGACAGATACGTGAAGTTTAATTAGAAATTTTGTGTTGGAATCCAATTCTGATTATGATGCAAAGGGCTAAATTTTTTAAGAGAGTTGTGTTATTCATTACCTTCTTTACAACTAGAAGGACTAGTCTATGCAGTTATTAAAAGACTATAAAGATAAAAAATACACGATCTTAAGTGTATTGTTAGAGGTGGCAAAATGGGCTTATTCGGTCCGTTTTGGGCCGGTCTCTAATGGGTTCAGTAGCGGGTTGGGCCTAAAAGTTTGAAATTTAAATGGGCTACAATTTAAGGGAATTGCTTAATGCACTTTAAGGATTGCTTTCTCATCCTCGTGGAAAACCAAAACTATTCTTAGAATCTAGAAATGCATTTTCGAAAGCACTCTAAACACAATCCATTCATTTTTTAGTCACACCCCAAATATTTGATAGCATAAAAAGATAAACTATTATATAGATAATTGTTAATATAAACCTAACATTACATTTCCACATCTAGATGGACGTTCAAACATCTTAATATCTTTGGTCGATTTCGCAATCGTTGCATCCAGCTCAATTAGATATTTTTTTTCCGTAATGGAAAAATATATTCCACATAACCTTTAAATTTGCATCCGTCTTAAGCCCAAAGTTGTTGAACTCAATCTTTCATTTGTTGTCAATTGAGAGTGAACGACACTCGAGCTTCTCAATTTTTTGTTATTCGAAGTATGGTAGGAGATTCTCCAATATGAATTTCAAATCTACAAGATGAGTGTATTCATTGAGCTTAAATTCAATTGAGAGCCTCACGTCGTTGAAGTAGACATATGCGACATGTCAATTGATGTTCATTCTGGCGTAATATTGTGTGGTAAATAAAAGAGATAAGAGCCTCGTACTTATACACGTTTTAGACCAATATGGACTTTAAAAATTCCATCTTGTACCAAGAAGTTTTAGAAATGTATTTCCGTAGCCACCTTATCCTTCAGTGTACTAGGGTGAGTCCGGAGATGCATCTCCAAAATAAATGTTCGAAAAAAATGTAGTAAGAATTAGTTGGGGCGTACTTTGGTGAGACACATTATACATTCGAAGATTAGAAATGTATTTCCGTAGCCACCTTATCCTTCAGTGTAGTAGGGTGAGTCCGGAGATGCATCTCCAAAATAAATGTTCGAAAAAAAATGTAATAAGAATTAGTTGGGGCGTATTTCGAAAATGTATTTCTGAACTAGAGAGACATTTTTTAATTTTTATAG